CCTTAGCAGGAGGTGACTCACAGACGGCACGCTATGCCCAAACTTTTCCTTCAAATCCATATTTTTCTCTCATCCCTGCTATGTGACTTTTTGGTCAGCTACACCTCGTGGATGAGATAACAAGCCACACAGATTTGCCACCGCCGGAGGTTTCCCATTGATTATTTTGCCCATGACTGTAACAGGTAGTGTCAACCTCCTCAGTTAATCCAACGTCTCTTCTCGACGAATTGACACTACACGCAATCGTCCCCGTGTAAGAATGGACAGAAATAAGCCCGACGTCATAAAAGCTGGGAGATGTGCACAGGACTTCGGAACCAGAAAGCCAGGATTTTCCCAATCTCTACGAACTACTTGATGACTCGCCCCTGCGCAACTCGTAAGGGGCCTTCCTCGTACAAATAGTGTGGTCCTCAATCTCTGAGTTTTTAAGGTTTTACGGTAAGTAACGAAGATCCTGCAACCCTCATAAACGACAGTTCTGCTGCCTCCCTAGTTGACCCGCCCCTCGAAGGCTATTTTCTGCCACGAGTTCAGTTTTTACGCCAGGTTTTTGGTTTTTCCACCGTTATGGAAGCACTGGATGAAGCGAAGAAACGTTTAGTAAGCCAGACGCGGCTGGATATCGCTTTTCTAGCATAAAACGACCAGGTAGAGCAAGTCCAGGGAACTCGCTCAGAGAGACTACCAGGTCTTCGGTGTTCGCCATGTTTTTTTCCGAGTTTTTCCTCCCTGGGGGCCACTGTTCGCGCACTTGTTTCAGCTGATAACACGATGTCAATCGTATTCTGGTTGGTTCTCGACGATGTCATTCAGCGCCTGATATAATGACCTGCAAAAAAAACACTGCCCTGCTTGCCAGTGACATCACTGAGACCTTATCAGAAGCCGAATTAGTCATTTTCTTATCTTAGCTAAGCGATTCTCATTTACAATCAGGTATTCGCTAAGTTCGCTAACAAGAGAGCAACCCATGTGACTCATCTCATCCCTTACTTGTGCAAGATCCCGTGAGTACGGAGAACGCCCCTCAAATAGAAGCTTTTGAAGTTCAGAAGCTTCCAGAACGCTGCACTTTATTAATTCATCGCATAAGATGGAAAAGTTTTTTTTCTTGGAAGCAGCAGCATGTGATTGACAAGCAGGTGGAAAGGAGGTGCAGCTGCAACTAACAGGAGCCGTTTTGCATTTGCTACCAGTCACAAGATCTAACTCAAGAGGTCGCAGAGAGAATTACGAATTCCTTTGTGATCCCTTAACTTTCCTTGTAGTTGTGTGTTGTCGCACAACAGGAGGTCCACTCTTAGGAATGTCGAGTAACAGACTTTCGTCCACAGTGACTTTGAGAGATTCCAGAATATCCTCACGGTCACAAGTAGTAGGAGTCTATCTTGACGACGGCGAACGTTTAGAAATTTGCGGTAATGTGCTCCACGGGACGGAAAGTAGTACTGTCCTTGGGTTGCAACCGCTTTCAGAAGTCGGCAAGGGTCTACTGCCATCTCACCATACGGTTCACTCAGACTTCCCACTTTTGATCTTCACTGTTCATCTTCAAGTCAGTCGAAACTCCCGTCATTCCCGGCATTTCGTTTTTTTTCTCTAGCCTTAGTCGGTCGGAGTACAGCGTCGTTGTGTGAAACATATAGGACGGGGGGGGGTCGTACTTTTCCGCTGGGGAGGGGGTCGTACTTGGTCGTTGTTGGGAGGGGAGGGGTCGTATGTGGCTTTGAGAGAAATTTGCCGCGTTGGGAAAAACAATTTCACCCTACTGTTGATTTCGTGACTTTTTTTCGTGATTTTTCGTGCTTCATGGGTACTACGCATACTATACCCTAGGTGGGGGATGAAACTGACACCCTCTCGCGGGGAGCTTACATACCTACAACACTAGTCCACACGTCACGGTGCTGTGTACCCTGGCCCCAGGAAGATCGGCGGGTACATGGAGTGGTGTTGACTCCCAATATCTATTCCTTGTTATATGAACGGAGCGAATGGGTCCACAGCCGCAGCAGCGTGCCACTTTCTCCACTAACAATTATAGGGAATAGGGACTGTAGGGTAATAGTCGCCTCCTCCAGCGTTCACCTCGAGGTGCAGCACTCGCGTTAATACCGAAGCACTGCCGCGAAACACGCACGCAGTGAGCAGAACACTGCAGAAGTGAGAAAACGCAGACAACTAGCGCGTTCGGCTATAGTTAGGGGAGTATGGAGACGGCGGCACCTAGGTACCACTTCTGCCCAGCCCCGTTGCAGCCACTTTTTGAGCGCCGAAAGTTACACCGCCTACGACAGCAACGAACTATTCACATCAAACGCGGAAGAAACCGCACGTTTCGGCGCAAATAAATGTAAAATCGTGAAGGCAGAAAGCTGTGGCTAGAAGAAGTCAGTGACTATCATTTTGAAGCCATCACATCTCTGCAAATGGTGCCTGAATGGCTGGAATGTCATCGTAACAAGAAGATCAGAAGTGTAATCTGTGGGCAATACCACTGATGAGCAACCGGGTGCACGCACTTGATCAATATGTTTTTTGACGAGAAAGTGAAGTGTCCAGGCCTGTCTGGAAGTGCAGTAGGTACCTTACTGCACTTTCAGAAGGCGCTGGAACACTTTCACTCTGAGAGAAGTAGAGATCAAAACGTCTACTTCTCGAAGTGCACCAAACATGTGCTGGAGTTGATCTGTGTGAAGAGGAGCTCACTGTCAAACTCGCCTTTTTCTGCATCTCATTGAGGATCGGTCCTTTCATATCTCACTAGAATGAGTGCAGATGATTGCACTGATGAGCTTCCGACGTTGAGTGGTTCGAAAGCTCTTTGCTGTAGGGGAGTCAAACATTCCTCAGTTTATCACGAAGGTATCCAGCGCTCCACCATCGGGTCACTGATTCCGCAAAAGTCCCTTCGTGTCGAGTAGAAAGCGAATTCTCGAGGACAACACATCTTTTTTAGGCTTCGAAAAAGTGGACAAAATTCCGCATGTTTTGCCCCAATTACCTATGTCTATTAGTTCGGAGGAGGAAGAGCAGCGATATCTGCCGTACAGTCATTCAAACAATGGAAGATTTATCAGTTGTTCATCACTTGAAGAGAGAGGACATTTGCAAGCTCAGAAGTGGGGAACGGCAATGACAAGAAATACGGTAGGCTCTCACGACGATGTCATGAATCAATAGACGAACGAAACACAGTATACGCTTGTAACTTTCTGAACCATAGGAGCACATTTGCTTTCATGGAGAAGCCTTACCAATAAATTACACCTACCGAACACTTCTGATGCATAGCGCAATACAGAGGGGATGTCAATCGGCGCCGAATACTGTTTCTCAATAATATCGACTAAAATATGTGTTCTAAAAACCACCATCAATTACAGAAGAAAATCAAGGGTAGGAAAAAAGGAACGAACGAAATCGTGACGGAGCTACAACTCACCTCTGGGCCTAGCTGAGCAGTGCTTTCGTAGGAGCTTAAGATCAGAGTTTCTCGAGTCAAAGGGGCAGTATAGCACCGCAAACGTTGGCTCAAGGGCCTGAAGGGTAGAATTCTGAAATCGCACGGGCCGGGCCAACCGCCGTCAGAAATGAAGGGTAAAAAGGGGCGAATTAGAACTTGTAGAGGCCAGCTGAACCGCTGTAAGTGGTACTTGGCCAAATGTTCCCTGTCTCTTTGAGCCAACTCTATCACCTGACAGCGCTTGAACAAGCCTTCACAAATTTAAATTTGCCCCTTTTTGCCATTTATTCCTTACGGCGGTTAACCCGGCCCGTGCAACTTCAGAATTCTGCCCTTCAGGCCCTCAAGCCAACCTTAGCAGTGCTGTATTGTCCCTAAAGCCCTTTGACTCGAGAAACTTTGAGTTAAGCTCCTATGGAAGAATCGACTGTCACTGCCCACGATCTAGGCTCAGAGGGGCCCGGTAGAGCTTCACAACAGTGAGAGGTGAGTAGTAGCTCTGTGACGATTTCGTTCGCTCCCTTTTTTTCCTAGCCTTCTGTGATTGGGGGGGGGGTGGTTTTCAGAACAGATATTTTTGTCGAAATTATTGAGAAATAGTTCATTCGGCGCCTATTGGCTCCTCTCTGTATTGCGTCATGCATACGATTCCCAAGGAGAAGTTTGGTAGGTGTAATCTGTTGGTAAGGCCTCTTCATGAAAGCAAAGGTGGTCCTACGGTTTAGAAAGTTTCAAGCGCGTGTTTTGTTCGTCTGTTGGTTCATGACGTCGTCGTGGGTCCCTACCGTATTTCTCGTCACTGCCGTTGCCCACTTCTGATCTTGCGAATTGCCTCCTCTCTCCTGCGTCTGGCGATGCCTCCTTTCACTCACGGTGGTTTTGGGAAAACTAAATATTTTATTTTTTTCGAAAATGAAGGCCGTGAATTTTGCAATACCCTCTATGGCAGCAGACGTGCCCAAGCTCTGAAATAATCGAAGAGGAACAGAAGACTACAAAAGTGATGCCGGCTTCCCCATAAACGGTTCGTGATGATTCTGTCACTGTGACACATTGCACATAATGAATAAGGTCGCTTCCAGCAGGTTATACCGTCCCCACAATGAAATTTTGTGAGGCTACCCTACTACCCTAGAACACGCTACGTACCGCTTCTCTTTTTTCGAAAATCGTGGTCAATTCAGAACGAAGAAAAATCGAAACTTTGTTTGAGTTTCGCAAAATGAGGCTATAGATTAGCTCCAAAATTTCAGTGAGACGCATACAAAATACCTTCAGTAACCAAAAACCAATGAAATACACGAAAACAAAAAACATTTATTCGGATAACCGATAACAATAAACATTTAAGCAATAGAACCAGCATTGGCAGCGATCCTAGGCCAGAGATCTGCGCACTCCTTCGCAACAGGTCCAGTAATGGCCGATCCCTTCATTTCCTATCATTTCTCCATTTGTTATAACTATTCACCTCCAGGCGTTATCTTCAAAGTAAGAATGAAAAGGGTTAAAAAACCATCCTTCGGTCTAACGACTTTTGCGTTGGGCCCTAACTGACCAGCAGCTTGGCCAAAACTGAAAAAAAATACAGTTACATACCGACAACTCTGTCTAGCAAACACTAAGCAAAAGCAGCTTGTAAATTTGAAATTGTTTCAAGACCACAAAAGCTATGTAAAGAAAAAAGATCTCGCAAAAACTGCGCAGCGCAGTCTTGAGGAATCCTCGCTCACATCGTGGACCGAACTCCGGTTCAAGTAATCTATGTTCGACATAACAGTTTACACACTGATTATTCCTACTGAAAGCGGCAACACTGGACACAAATACTATCGTTATAGCAAGTGCGGACTAACTTGGTTTGTTACAGTATGAAAGAAAGAAAGACAATGTGAAGGATACAAACATGTTAGAAAAATTCGGGGTAGAGGGCGGGGTCACAGAAGTCTAATACAGGGTTACCATGCCAGGAACAGAGTGGTAAGTTCTTGTCGAGTTTCGAACGGCACATTGAGTGCCTGGGCAACGGACAATCTGCAGCTACTGCAGATCTCACCCACCTAATGAGTGTAACTGACCTAATTATGATAAACAAGAGCGGTACTCCACTCTGCTTTCTCTTACTGTGCATCTTCCCGACTCAGATTCACCATGTGAATCTTACGACAGATGTGCAACCCGGTTAGTCAATGAATTCCAAGGGACACAGTAAAAATGCGAGTGTTTTCAAATATAATAAGGATTACTATATCACTATGTATAATTCGCTCATGTGGGTTTGTCTGTTTGCTTGTTCGTAGCGAAATTCATAGCGAGCGAGGAACAGTGACATATGGCTTCCACAAAGTAACATTCGCCTTGTAACGAAAAACCATAGCACCATTGATTCGACAATGGCAGAGCATGTGGGATGGGGACATTAATAGTAGTTATAGGGAGTGATAGCAACTGAGAAACGATGAAAGCGCCATATCAGTCTGCAACGCCACCTACGAAAACAACATGTCCGACAAAACTCAAGAAATCGAGATTTCACCTAATGAAGCCCAAAGCATACTTATTCCCTTATCAGTAGTGACCTCTCAACTGAGTGGAGTTCAAATTCTTCCAGATCAAGACAGACAAGGGCAGTAGAAGTAGTGCGACGGCTCAGCGGCTGCGACTCGCGAAGCAGAACACTTTCCTGCCTATCTGAAGAATTTCTCGAGGATTCGCGAGAGTTATAGAGGTATTTTCGGAGGATAAACTGAGGAATAACCAGCCTAAAGAAGTAAGAAATCGTAGGGAATACAACAGGAAGGAAGAGGCCGAATATATTGGAGATACGATAGGAATTAATCGTAATCGGAACTGAATATATGTACTGTTTCGGGGCCGAGGTGCTGCAGTGAGTGGCGCTAAGAACCACGCGCACAGTCAGGGAATAAAATTTCAGGCCAACTCTCGCCCATGACAACCAAGTCATCTATCCTGTGGAGCTACCAAATTTGTAATGTTTGTTCGAGACCATGAAAACCCTGACATGAACATCATCTGCCCCTGCAGCTCAATGTATAAACATCATCGCATCCTACCCCACTACGATTTCGAATAAAAACAGGATGCGCGCCGCACTCCGAAAAGAAGTTGATCAACGGCAACTTTACCCATTCATCCCCAACGCAGTTACCCAGGTTCTCACCAGCTCATAACTAGCTCTTCAAGCATGAGCGTAAGGTCAATGTAAAACAGGCCTACAGAGATGACTATCACCAATGCCAATGTATAGGAACAAACACATCTTTGAGAGTGCAAAAGGCTTGATTCGCCTTTTGCAACCTAACTCATAGTGCTGAAGTAGCACAGTAACTCTACTAGCGCTGTGACGCAGTGGGATCGAAAACGTTCTAATATTCATCGTATAACAACGAGGTTAAAACATTGACAACAATGTTTTATTAAAAGCTTCATACATTCGACTGATCCCGCGCGGAATTCTCTTTAGCGTTATCGAGAGAAAGCTTAAGGACGGTACTAATTTATGAATGATCCCTATGAAGTCATGAAGTCTGAAAGACATTTCAACTTCAAATTTGCATTCAAACCGCCGTAAATGGCGCCGCAAAATACATTTCCACGATCAACCACTTCATGAGACAAAATGTCGCTGAACTTTATCGTAAGGCTAATGCTGCACAGAACCTTGAAAGGAAGGGGACGCAACAGACTGTCACGATGTAAGGACAGAAACCCACGTTCTCCTTACCGAAAGATTAAAAGACAGTATCCGCGCTCGAGGAGGCCTCAAAAATGACTTCGCCATTCTGGGAACCCTCGCGCCTGATGAAGAATGATCCCTGCTCTTAATCCACATGACGCGCGAATCGAGAAGTTATCGCAGTTCGACAAGGCTCGCTAGGCTCGAGCGAGACGGTAGTGACGAGGCGTCCTGGTCCCGAACTGAGCAGTCCGGTCCCTTTAAAAAGCCCGGCGCGGCCGCGCTCGTGCGCGCAAGCCGCATCTGCAACTGTAGCCATTGGTTTATAGCTGTTTATAGCTGGCTGGAAGCGCAAATTCTTAGAAAAGCATACATAGGATAAGAGAGAGGCAAGAAACTAAAGAAGGCAGTGAAGGAGGATTGAAGAAAAAGCACGGGGAGATGAGTATCACGTACGAAAGTCTGTTTCTCCCGCTTGTTGCTTAGAGCATCCGCATCGCGCGTAGCAGGAGAGAATATAACAGAACAGCATGAATACTGAGAAGAGCTCCTCTGTTCTCCCCAGCTCCACTCTGACAGAAAAAAAACCCTGTAATTATCAGTGGAACACGTTTTATCGAGACATCGATGCCCGGAATTTCTCGAGGACGGCGAACACACAAGTGAGTGGAGATACAAAATAAGGGACGGGCTCTCGGCTCTCTCCGACAACCGTCGATTCAGGGGCGTAGCTGTTTCCGCAGTTTCCTATTTCCTATTCGAATTCGAAAATTATCCTATTTCGAAAGTCGGGACGCAATTGCGGCCGCCGCACCGATCCCGGCAGCCACAGCCGGCGCACTCGTCCAGGCCCCGCCCCCACTGCTAAGGGAGGTTTCCGTGTGTCCGGAGTGTTTTCGCGGGGAGGTTTTTTTTTTCCACCTGGGGTTACAAATGGGCCACCTGGCTTCGTTACTGCTACAGGGGGCACCGAGATTACCCGAACACTTTAATAACGCGGAATGCTTTAAAGAGAACACTTTCATCAATCGTTACAACAGAATGCGATGATCTCAAAATGGTTTGTTTTCGTTGAATGATGAAACATGGTGATGCATTCCAAACTTGTGGCGAGGAAGGAAACAAAGGACGAAAACGAAGGAAACATCCGTGCAAAATCCATGATATTCTAGCAGTTACAGCTATCTCCACTTCGCTCACCAACTTCACTGAGCCCTAGCATTTCGAGGAAGTCCAAGCTGTCAACGCCTATCGAGGAACCTTACGTCAATGTCCTTCTCCAGCAAAGCCCGTTACTTTGGAGTCATTCAAGTAGATGGAGTCGCTAAGCGGTGCGGCGGAGAGGAAATGCGGAATACTTTGCTCCTTAGTATTATGAAATACCCACATATCCCGTAAAATGGACCATGAAAACACTATCGACCACCTTGAAACGTCGCGGTTCTCAAGAACAATAGTAATAAGTAGGCTTGAAGATCTTTTATGGTGTCTCTTATTCCTATTCTAACACTATATGATCTTTTGGGGACTGCTACCATGGTCGAGGGAGGTAAGAATGCGCTGTTCTCAAGAAGGATGTCGCCTGCGATACCACAGTGTCTCGCTGGTTTCAGCGACAGGAAGTTGAAATATTCCATTCGAAGATAGGCTGCGTCCTGATCGCCCACCGGAAAAGGAATGATGAGCGTTTGATCACCAACCTAGAGGCGAGCATCACCAGTTAGGCCGCAATAATAGAATTTAAAGAAATGGCGAAACAGCGGGTAAACGAAAGAACACGTATCGATTCGAAGAACCGTGGAATTCGAATAAATGCAGTATCTACAGAAATGTTGAAATGACGGAAAATTGATAGAATTGATCGTTTAGCTCAGCCAAATTGGCCAAGTGGGCATATGCCAGTTCTGTGGTATTTCTGGATTTTCTTAAAATCGGCATTTGTTCATCGATGCCTGTACTTTCTTTTTTTCTGCAGGTTATGAATTTCTTCCGAATCTGCGGTTCTTCAGATCGAGCGGTATACTTCCTTTTGTCCGCAGTTTCGTCACTCGTTCAAAGTCAACTCGTATGAATGCGGCGCAAGTTGGCAATATCTCTACTATGCACTCAC